CAAAAAATAAGAGATTCTTAATCTCAGGAAACAAACTGAGGGTTGCTGGAGTGGAGGGAGGTGGGAGGGATGGGGTGGCTGGGTGATGGACACTGGGGAGGGTATGTGCTATGGTGAGCACTGTGAATTGTGTAAGACTGATGAATCACAGACCTGTGCCCCTGAAACAAATAGTACATTATATGGTAATAAAAAAAAGAATTTACATTATTCTCTAATTTTAGACTACAATTTAGAGCTTACATTATTCTATAATTGAGACTCTCACATTTTTACAATGCAATATTTCTAGTTTCCCCATATAAATAGCCATAAAACAGAATTATGGAATTAAAAGAATTCAGAAAGAGTGGGCAGGTTAGAGACAGCTGGCTATAAAGGCAATATTTTCTATTTCATTTTCCTAAACATTCTCCCTCTACTCCCCCTACTCTCATACCCCCATACCCCTCTTTCACTTCTCTTTCTCTCTCGGTCCTTCTTCCATCAGTTTTCCAAGAGCTACCCTTTGCCTCCTCCTCTCCATCCCCCACACTCCTAGACAGGATACTTAGATGGGGAGCTGTCATTCTCCCTTCTAGGTGGTATCAAGATTATTTTGCTTGCCTTTATTAAAGGTGTGATCCTAGAAAAGGTGACTTTAATGCCCCCCAACAGGGAATCTGTGCCCCAGGGCCTGCTTTACCTGTTGTTACAGACAAGGCAACTCACCAGGCCTTCAGCAGGTATTAATGTGTGTTGGGGCAGCGGTACCTTTCCCCCAGGGGTGTTGATGAGTTGAAGTTCATGGATGTGAAGGCTAGTGCCTGCCATGGTGTAATCCTTTAAAACTGCTTCTTTGTGGTTGGTATTGTGTTTCTGACACATGACTTATTTCAAACTTGTTTCTCATATAGAGGCAAAGAGCATAGAAGTTAAGACCAGACAGACCTGGATTCAGAGCATGGCTCTTCCTCTCGCTGTCTGTGTGGCCTCGGGCAAGCCACCCAACATCTCCAAACCTACATTGCCTCATCTAAAAAATAGAAGTAATAATAATCTATTCCTTACTGCTAGTAAGAGAAATAAATGAGATTATGCATGTAAAGCCCTAGCATAAGATACGGTATATGGCACAGAGTGAGGATTCATTAAATATCAACTACGATTATTATTGCAGTCCAATAATGGGGTGCGTGCATGTGTGTGCAGATACAAGGCGTACTCCAGGGAGTGAGGCCAAAACATTAGTAAATAAATATAGCATCAAGTGAATTATACCATACTTGCCATACAAACTAACGGGATAGAGAAGAATAGTTCAGTTTGATGAGCAAAATATATAATGTTTTGGAGGTAGCATTTGCCCTTAGCGTCAAACAATGAGTAGCATTTATATAGGCAGAGATGGGAGGAAGGGAGCTCCAGGTTGTGGGGACAGTCCGAACAAATCATGGATGCAGAAAAATTACAGGCTGTTCTTGGGGGCCCACATGGAGAATGGGAAACTGGGGCGGAGGTTGTGTGTTCACCTATGTTTGGGGTCATGGAGTGGGGAGAGAGGGTTCGAGAGCTCACCCATATTCCATCTTTCCCAACTTGGCGCTGCTTTAGGGCAGGGACCCTGTGTTATTTGTTCTCTGCTATTCAGTGCCTGGTATATGGTAGCAGGCACTTATTAAGTAATGGTTGAATGAATGAATGAGAGATTTCTAGTCTGTGTTTTTATCATAGCTAGAAATGGGGCAGCAGAGGGACAAAGGGGCTTCAATGTTTTACTTTGAACATTGGGTCCCTGCTTCATGTAAAGAGATTTTGCTAAAGATTATGGGACATAATTTGGACAAATGAGGTGTTTGTCAAGTCCAAGAGAGTCATGGTGGAAGGTGGTGGCAACAGGCTGTCCTGCACAGATTTAGACATGTCCTGCACATGTCAAACCAGACTGGAACACTGGGTCAGAGATGTAGACATGGGAGCTAACAACATATATACAAAACTTGACTCCTTGGACTCTACACAGCAAAAATCTATGTAGAGGCCATGGTCATGGTCCCATTTATTAGGGACTTGATGGGGTAAAGAAGAGAGGTATAAGTCAATGACTTCATGATGCAGGAAAGCCTAGGGTCTTAACTCAGTAACAGCAATGGTTGGAGTATGTTGGGAGATGGAAGGGAAGTTCTCTAGGGAGTAAGAGAAGTAAAAGATGCTGGAGAGGAAAGGAAATATTTTAGATATCTGAATGGTGGGATGCAATGTGGTTCTGAGTGACCATTAATGAGAAAGTCTCCTTTGCCTAAGGATGAAGACATGAGTGAGAGAAGAGATGGGAGGTAGTCAGGTGTGGAGGGGAGATGGGGTGGTCAGGTGTGGAGGAGGAGACGGGCTGGTCAGGTGTGGGGGGGATGGGGTGGTCAGGTGTAGAGGAGGAGACGGGGTGGTCAGGTGTGGAGGGGAGATGGGGTGGTCAGGTGTGGAGACTCTGCTTTATTGCTTTTCTACTTCCATACATTTGATGATCTCCTATCCCGCCAGTCATCACAGATTCACTCCATTTAACAAACATCGATCGTGCACCTGCTTTGCAGCAGGTACCAAGCCAGGTCCGGCAGATACAGAGATGGACAGAAACAGATTCATCCCTGAACTCATGAAGCTGCTGACAAATGTGAGGTTGATTAGCTGAATGTACATTGTTTTGCTATATTCTCTTTATAAACAGGGAAAATAAGCATTGTAGGGGCTCTCCATTGTAAAATAAAGCTGAAGGGGGAGACAACTTACCTCTTCATTCTGTCAAAGACTCGATGATCACATAACAATTTTAGGGGGAGGGCATCTGGATTATTTTTTAAAAAATCATTTAATTCTTATTGTGGAGACCAGAGCTGACCAGTGTAACCAGAAATTTTCATCAGAAGGTTTTAAAATTTCACTGGCTCCATGTATCATTCAAAGGACCAAATTCTGCTATAATTTCACCTGTTTATTTTTAGATCAGACATTGAATGAATTTGATATTCAATTAGTGGTGATATTAGGCATTTTAACACATGCCAAGCACAAAGACTGGGTGTCATCTTTAACAGGCAGTTAAATCTGTTCTAGGACTATTGCAGGCCTTTTGGCTGGTAGTATTTACAGGTAGGGTCCCTCCTCCCCAGTTGAAGCATAGTTGACATATGGTGTTATGTTAGTTTCAGGTGTATAACATAGCAAATGGACAATTATATATTATGCAATGTTCACCATGAAAAGTGTAGGTACCATCTGTCATCCTACCGAGTTACTATGATATATAGCATATACATTCCCTATGCCCTACTTTTCATTCCTGTGACTTATTTATTTTGGAGCTGGAAGATTATACCTCTGAATCCACTTCACGTATTTTGCCCATTTCCCTACCCCCTCTCCTCTGGCGACCACCAGTCTGTTTTCTGCATTTATGTGTCTCTTTCTGTTTTTGTTTGTTTGTTTGGAAATAAGTCAGACAGAGAAAGACGAATGCCATATGACTTCACTTACATGTGAAATCTAAAAACCAGAACAAATGAACCAGTACCATTTTAGACCCATGGTAGCATTTACCAAGTCTACAGCCTACAGACCCATCCAGAATTCTGAGAATGAATACAAAATATAAACTCTGCATGAGAAAAAGTAATTTTAAAAAAAGGTATCTGAAGGTAAAATGTTTGTGAGGCCAGAAATAGAAAGAGTTGCTGGTAAGGAACATAGGAGAACAGAAGGACAGGGTTGGGGAGCCCTGGTACCCTGGTGGGGTCTGGGAACCTAGACTTGGCCGTTTAGTCCCGTGGCCAGGCTAATGAGCAGCTTCTGATCATTGGATGTTGTCTGTGGTTTTCCTGCTTGGGGTAAATATTCTGGGCTTGTCTCCATTGTCAGAGGTGCTTGTTGCTTAATATAAACCCTTGTGGTGGCACCCCCCCACCCCTGCTTTTCTAGTTCAGGTTCCTAGGAGTTCAGTTAATGTGAGTTAGCCTCTAATAAACTTGGAAAGGAGACCAAAACACTCTTCTGAATTGGCAAAGCTGAGGTCCCTCACCTTTAGTCACCTCACTAAGGTCTGTTAGGGGCCAGCCTGATGGTGCCTTATCCTGGCAGCAAGTCCCCCGCCGTTACCCTTTGGTGGAGTGTCACACAGGGGTTCCCAGACCAACCAAGACTGATTAACTGAGGGCTGTATTTTCCTTAGCCCTAATAGTAACTCCATGGCCTCACTGTTCACCCACTAAGACTGTTGCCTTGTGGAAAGAGCACCTCGAAGCCGGACAGATCTGAGTTTTAGTAGTAATTCTGCCACTTACCGTTTGGGTGACCTTGCCTATGTCAATTAACTTCTCCAAGCTTGAATTTTTTCGTGTAAAATGTAAATTCCTACCACACGGTTGTAAGGAAGTTGCAAGGGTGAACAGTGATGTATGGGAGACAGGTGACCCAGCCTCTGGATGAACTAGTGGAGGCTACTGTTTACGGAAATATTAGCTAAAGAGAGAGAGGGGGAAACCCCAAATCTTTTCCTTAGAAAGTGAGGACGGAGGGGACGGTCACTAGATAATGCCCCCAACGGGAGAAGCCCGGCTGGGCGGAAGACAGGTGTAAATGTGGAGGCTTGTCCGCGTCCTGCTCCTAGAATGGGCCACCAAGCCCTCTGCCGCGGAAGAGTTTCCATTCCGGTGCCGCAGGAGCGGCGGGGGTATCACCGCGGCCTCTCCCTTGGGTTGCGCTTCACCCCGTCACGTCCGCGACGGAGCCGGTCTACTCGGGAGCCGTGGTTACTAGGCGCGAGAGCGTCCATGGCAACCGCCCGCCGCAGAGTTTCCCCCCGTTCCTCCCGCTCCCGCCTCCCGCCTTTCCTCCCACCGGCCAATCGGCTCCCGGCGAGCCGGCGGGGGCGACCGTTGAGTGGTCCGCGGGAGCTGACGTCACAGGTGGGGAAGGCGGGGCCAGGGCCGGACCTGTCGGGGTCCCAGCCATCAAGGGCGGTAGGTGGGGGGCTGCCATCCTTACCGCTCACCGCCCCTTCCCCGCCCCTCGCCCGCAGCCGCTGGCAGGTGAGTGGTCTGGTCGGCTCCTGCCTGCCGCTGGGACGACCCCTACAGCGTCCCCTTCCCCAGTGAGGCCCCAACGTCTGACCTCAGAATTCGGGGTGAAGTCGTGGAAACCCTGGAATTCCTCTCCCCAGTCTGCACTTCCCTGCTCCCACCCTTCAGAATAGAAACCCTACAGACCCACTGGTACCCGCTACCCAACCCCCTACCCCATGCCTTTGTAACTGACATTTCTGACGCTTTTCAAGGATTGAGAAGTTATTTCTAAATGCGGAACCAGCAAAGGGGAGTCCGACCCCCCGACCCTGTGCTCCCTGGTGTAATTTCTTACACCAGTTAGCAGTGCTGTGCTTTTCCCCGGTAGCGCTGTTTTCAAGTGCCGTCAAGGGGAGGGCAGTCCAACCACCTGGCTGTTCAAAGAGAGTTCCTGAGATTCCGATCAGGGCCGGTGTTCTCTCAAGGCCTGTGGCCATTTCTGTTCCGCTCTGACTCTGAAGCTCTTAACTTGTGTTTTGACCTTTTAGACCAAGCCCCTTTATGTTTTCTCCCTGGATGCTTATGATGGTGTAGATAAATATTTTAGAAATGGGTAATATTACTTGTTTGGCCACCGTGAAAAAAGCAAGCAAATTGTTTCACTAATGGGCAAAGTGTTTCGAGGTTTCTGATAAAATATTCTACTCTTCTTTTTGAAGTGAAATATTTTACTCAATAAGTAGAGTTTTCAAGCATCCTTGCACTCATGCCTCACTTCAAACAAACAAGTTAACGTTACCGTCGTGGATGAGACCTCCCTCCTAGGTACCCCTTGGGAATCCCATTCCCCTTCTCGTTTCCCAGCTGTACCTATCTACCAGAATTTAGTGTTTACTTACATTCTGTATATTTGTGTACCTTTTCCACTTGTGTATTTGTCCAAAAACGAATATATAGTGTTATTTTTAAAAGTTTATATAATGGTGTCGTGTTCTGGGTCACTCATTTTAACTGCTGTGTGATAATGCTTGTATGAACTTACCAATGATGTATGCCTACTCCTGTTGATAGACTAAAAAGTCTATTGTTAGAAACATTCTTGTACATTCTTGGGTACATACTTGAGTTTCTCTAGGTCTATCACAAAGTTGAATTGAGTTGAGTCATGGGGAATGTGCTTTTTCAACTTTGTTAGAGACTGCCACATAGATCTCCAAGGTTTATTAATTTATATTTCCACTCTCAGAGAAGAGAGTTCCGTATTGAACATTTTTTTTTGGAAGAAAGAGATTAACTTTTCCTGCATTCTTATTTAATATATGCATAAAGAGAAATTGCTTAAGTGTTGAAATCTGATATAATTTTTAAAAAAATCTGCTGCTCATTAATGTAGTGGGAGCAGGGTTTTATTTTTGCCCCAGTTTGAAACTGTGAGTAGTTAGATGGATATGACCAAAGGAGCTAAGGGGCGTTGTAAGTGATCATTTCAAGCCTATCCTGGTCACTGATCTGAGGCACCGTGTGAAGCAAGTCATGGAAATCTGTACTTGTCATGTCTTCCGCAGAAAATGATCCACAGGTTTTTATACCTTAAAATATTTGTGATTTTAGAGCCTTGCCTAAATATGCTAATAAAATATGTTTATCCAACTTGAGGTCATCTTTGGGATTATAAGTGGAGCTTCCCCGTACCTACAGTCTTTGTGTTATTGATTATATTTTTAGCATGTTAATATTTATGGAAGACAATTATAGCATTTTTTTTCAGTAGGTAAATAACTATTGACTTCACGTTAAATAAATACAGTCAAACACTGTATTTGACTTCATTTCTTAAAATGTTTTTTGGTCATGCCTAAAAGTGTAATAAAAAAAAATTGCATAACTTAGGGTATGAATTTTTCCACAGCTATTTTCAGTCATTTTCCCAAAGAATTTGTTCAGTTTGCTTGCAAATAGGAGACATTTATAGCATCAGTTAATGATCTTAGTATGTGCTGCATGAGCCCTGTTAAGATGTGACTGAGTTAGAATTTAGAGAATGATTTAAATGTTGTAAAAGGCACATCATCAACTAAACCATAGGCTTTAAAAAAAACTCCTCCTTAAAATTTGAACAAACCCATTTAGGCATGAAGTTTTCTTTGAGGAAATATTTTAAACTATAGATTCAATTCTTTTAACTACCATAGGGCTATTCAGATGATCAATTTCTTCTTTAGTCAGTTTTGGGTATTTGTGTTTTTAAAGCATTTTGTACCTTTCATCTCTGTTGTCAAATTTCTTGGCATAAAGTTATTAGTAACATTGCTTTATTAACTGTCTAATGTTTGCAGGGTCTGTGTCAATATCTCTTTTTCATTACAGATATTAGTAATTTGTTTCCTCTCTTTTTATCTTGATCAGTCTGGTGAGAGGTCTACCAATTTTATTGTTAGAGTTTCACTGCTTCCCCCCCTGCCCCGTTTGTCCATTTTCTATTTCATTGACTTCTCTCTTTTTATTATTTCTTTCCTTCTACTTTGGTCTTACTTTGCTTCCCTTACTTTATTAAGAATAAAGTGGAGATCATTGATTTTATTTTATCTTTAATTTTTAAAAAGATTTTATTTATTTATTTGAGAGAGAGCAGAGAGAGAGCATGAGTGGGGGTGGTGGGGCAGAGGGAGAAGGAGAAGCAGACTCCCCCAGAGCAGGGAGCCCAATGTGGGGCTCAAGCCCAGGACCCCAGGATCATGACCTGAGCTGAAGGCAGATGCTTAATTGACTGAGCCACCCAGGTGCCCTGAGATAATTGATTTTAGCTAATTTTTATTTTTTTGTATAAGCATTGAAAGCTATATACTTCTGCCTAAATACTATTTTAGCTGTATCCCACAATTTTGATATGCTCTGTTTTTATTCTCATTCAGTTCCAAATATTTTCTAATTTTCTATGTGATTTCTTCATTGGCCTAGAGGATATTTAGTAATGTGTTGTTTAGGGATGCCTGGGTGGCTCAGTCAGCTGAGCATTCTACTCTTGAGTCCGCTCAGGTCTTGATCTCAGGGTCATGAGTTAAGGCCTCTCATTGGACTCCATGCTGGGCATGGAGCCTGCTTAGAAAAAAAAGTGTGTTGTTTAATTTCCTACTATTTGAGAATTTCCCAAATATCTTTCTATTATTGATTTCTAATTTAGCTCAATATGGTCAGGAACATATTCTGTATCATTTAAGTATTTTATGTTTATTGAGAACTTGTTTAAGGGTCAGTATATGGTCTACCTTGGTGAATATTCTCTGTGTAGTTGGAAATTGTATGTAATTGCTGTTTAAAAATATTTTTCTTTCAGTTTTATTGAGATAAATGAACACGTAACACTGTATAAGTTTAAGGTATACAGCATAATGCCTTACATATATTGTGAAATGTCTACCACAATAAGTTTAGTTAACATCTGTCATCTCATATAGATACAAAAGAATCTGCTGTTTTGAGTGGTGTGTTCTATAGATGTAAATTAGGTCCTGTATTATTCAAAGAGCCTATTTATTAACCAGTTTTCTATTTGTTCTAACAATTACTGACAGAAAAGTGTTGAAATATCTGCTATTGCTGTGGATCTATTTCTCATTTTAGTTCTGCCAGTTTTTGCTTTATGTGTTTAAAATTCTACTGGTGGTTACATAGACATTGAAGATCATTATATCTCCTTGACTAATCCTTTTATCCTTATTTCTCTCTTTATTTGTGATAGTACTTATTGTCCTGAAGTCTGCTTGGTTTGTTATTAATATAGCCACTTCAATATTCTTTTGATTTGTATTTACATGGTGTACCATTTTCCATACTTTTATTTTTAACTTATCTATGTTTTATATTTAACATGGGTTTTTTTGAGACAGCATGTAGTTCAATATTGCTTTATAAAAACCAGCTTAAGAATCTGTGCCTTCTAATTTGATTGTTTAAACCATTTATTATAAATAGAATTAACAATGTGATTTGGTTTGTGTCTACCATCTTGCTACTTGTTTCCTCTGTCTTACTTTTGTCTCTTTTCTCTTGGATTAATTATGTGTCTTTGTCAGTCTTCTATTTCCCCACCCCGCTTAGGTGATTAGCTTTAATTCTGTTTTATTTCTTTTTTAGAAGATGTTCCAGGTCAGTGGTTCAAAATATTTTTGGTCTCAGGACCCCTTTGTACTCAAACAACCTCACGTTGAGGATCTCAAAGAGCTTTAGTTTATGTGGATTGCATCCATTAATATTAATTATATTAGAAATTAAAATTGAACAGTTAAAAATATCAATTCTTTTAAAAATAATCATTACAATCCATTATATAGTAACATAAATAAAATGTTTTATTAAAAAGCTATGTTCCTGAAACAAAAAATATCTAGTGAGAAGAGTAGCATCATTTTACATATGTGGTAGAGTTCTTTGATTTCTGTCTTAGCAGCTGGGTTCTCCTATCTACTGTATTTAGTCTATTGTGATATCACATATCATGTCACCTCTGGAAAACTCCATTGTAAATCTGTGAGAGAATTAGAGTGAGAAAGGAAAATAGCACCTGAGCATTTACTGTGAAAATAATTTTGACCTTGTCACCCCTGAGAAGGTTTAGGACAAGTCCGTGGGTTCTGGGTCATATCTTGAGAACTGATGCTCTAAAGTTTACAATTTGCATTTTTAAACTTGTTGCAGTATATGTTTAAACAGTATTATTCCATTTTAGTTATGACCCTTAGAATAATATATTTCCATTTCAGCTCTCCAACATTTGTGCTATTATGACCACATAATTTACTTCTATTTTTACTATGAACTCCACAATAATTTTTTATTATTTCACTTTACACAACCGTCTTTTAAAGAAATTTAAAAATTAGAAAAGAGTATCTTTTATATTAGCACACATACCATTTCTGGCACTTTATTTCTTTGTGTAGATCCAAGTCTCCATCTGGTACAGTTTCTTTTTGCCTGAAGAATTTCTTTTAACAATTCTTTTAGTGCAGTTCTGCTGCTGATGAATA